CAAGACCAATATCCTTGCCGACGCACTCTCGCGTCGACCGGATTACGTGCAATCCGGCTGCCATGCAGTTGGCGACGAGGATGACGACGATTGCGCTGTGTGCACCACTGATGAAGTTGCTGCTGTTGAAGTCGCAGCGACCACTCCGCTTCGAGACCTGATTACAGCTGCGTACGAGTCGGATGCGTCGTGCTCCGAGTTGGTCAAGTATCTGAGAGAACCATCGGAAGCGGCGCGGCGCCTCGTATCCACTCACACCCGCGCCCGTGTCGATCGCTACAGTCTCGATGGAAATCTGCTGACCTTCCGCGTCGATCGTGCAGACCCCCCCACGTATCGTCGTCCCGCTTGACGATGATCTCAGAGCCCGACTGATCCATGAGTTCCACGATACACCCAGCAGTGGCCACCTCGGGCGCGAAAAGACCTTCGCGTCGCTCTCGCGCGACTTCTACTGGCCGCACATGTATAAGTGGGTGCGGAAGTGGGTACGCTCGTGCGAAGCGTGCCAACGCGTGAAGCCAACTCCGTCAAAGTAGGCTCCGCTTCGACCTCTCCCAGTCGCGACGGGTCCGTGGACATCGGTCAGCATGGATTTCGTCTTCAGTCTTCCGCGAGATGCCCATGGCCGCACAAGCATACTTGTTTTCGTCGACCGATTCAGCAAGATGGTCCATCTTGCCCCTGTCGCTTCCTCGATCACCGCATCTCAGTCGGCAGCGTTGTTTCTCGACACGGTCTACCGCCATCATGAACTGCCGTGTTCGATCGTCTCCGACCGTGATCCGCGTTTTACAGCGGCCTTCTGGACGGAACTCTTCAAGCGTTGGGACGCGGTTGGCTACGTCCACCGCGTCGCACCCGAAACGGACGGTCAGACTGAACGCGCTAATCGGGTTGTCGAAGACGTCTTGCGGAGCTATGCCACGTCGTTCACGTCGTGGAGCTCATTCCTGCCCATGGTGGAGTTCGCCATCAACAATGCCACTCATGCGTCAACGGGACTGACACCATTTTTCGTGAACTTCGGCCGCCACCCCCGAGTTCCGGCGCTCCTCGGACTGGAGCGCCCTCCACCGTCTCAACTGCCAGGGTCCCACGACGATGCGACTCCTACTTCCACTGGTGGCGCCCCCACCGAGGCGTCCGAGATGACAGCTGACTCACATGTGAACGCGGTGAGCACGCGATCTTCCTCGCGGATCTCCAGCCAGGGCCCTCTTACACGAGCCGCCGCACGAGCGGCGACTGCTTCTGCTTACTTGGTACGGTGGACCGGTCCGCTGGACGACAGCTGGGAGCCTCGGGAGGTGCTGCTGGCGGACGTTCCGGATTGCGTGGAGGCGTACGAGGCCGGCCTTCTACGGGGCGCGACTCCTCGTCGCGCCTAGCTTCGTGAAGCGCTCGCTGGTACAGCCCCACCAGCCTGCGCTCGGCTTCGGAAAGGGGCGTGGCGCTCCCAAACAGCGGCACTTGGTCGCGGTACGCTGTACCCGCGACAACTTGGACATCCGAGGCGATAATGAGCGAAACAGCAGTCTCGATCAGCGTCCCATGACAACTCGCAAATCTGGGCCGCCAAGGCCCCCACGGAGCGGCGCGAGTGCTGCTCCTCGCGCTGCAAAAGCTTCTGCTGGAACGCTGCTGGCACCTCTGTGTTCCAACGATTCACGAAAGCCGTCCAGGCCCGGTCCATGAACTGTGCGGTGACGCTGTCGATCGCAGCGTCGGGTTTGCTTCGTGTGGCGCGCCAGCGGCTAATCAGCACCCGCATTTCGCTGTCACTGAGCGCGTTGTCGAAACCACCGCAGTCCGTGAAGGCCCAACGCTCCAGGACCTCCTCATACATCGCGAGCTCGACGTCCACGGTGTCTCTGTCCATGTGGGTACTGCTGCTGTCACGGCTCTTTCGATTGTGAGGAGCTCACCAAGCTGTTTGGAAGTCATCGCAGCTTCAACCTTACGTAGGGGGTGGTGTGACGGGGTACCGTCACACAGTCGCCGTGGCGCACGGCGACCAATTAGAGTAGGTCTTATTTTGTTGTTTCACGGCGCCCGAGTCGGGCGCCACACAGATTAAATAAGACAGAGCTATATTTCCCCACAAGCACGCACTGCCCCGTTACACTCATGCACATATGCTAAGTCCCATCGTAACCCTTTTAATAAACACACCGTTGAAAGGGCTAAATTTCCTCTTGAAAAGGTTCATACCGACATGGCAGGACCTCTGCCTGTTTAAATCCTGTCAGGATGTCAATTCTTTTTACCTTTCATTGATGACTACTCACAATACAGATTCATCTACATTATCAAACGAAAGTCAGATCTATATAACTGCTATGGGAATTTTAGGAAGAAGGCCCAAAATATGTTTCAGGCCGATGTAGGGCAACTCGAATATCGTGAGAACATGTACGATGAGAAAATTCGCACACTCCAGAGTGATAACGCTCGTGAATACGAGAAACTTGGACAAATCATCTTTGAAAAATACAACACTCATGCTCAATTAACGAATGCCTACGCACCACAACAGAATGGTGTAGCAAAGAGGCGTATGCGCACGCTCCTTTTGAGAGAACAAGAGCTTTTCTCGTTGACGGGAATCTACCTCATGTCCTTTGGGGAGAATGTGCGACTCATGTTGCCGATCTCCTTAACATGACCCCGAGCTCTGTTACAGACAAGATCACTCCCTATGAAAAGTGGTTCAACAAGAAACCATCCGCACAATATATCAAGGTATTTGGATGCTCTGCATACGCACACATACCGGAATTATACCGAAACAAACTCGAAAAACGAGCAAAGAAGTGCATGTATCTGGGCATTCCACCCAATAAGAAAGGATATCGACTACTAGACACAACGGAAAACAGAATTGTATACAGTCGAGATGTCATCTTTCGAGAAAAAGAGTTTTCCAAACTGGAATTCTTAGATTCTCCAGCCATGAGCGACGTACTCAGCCCTCTAACTCAAGAAAAAAAGGGCCTCAACATCTACCACTCTAGCTGAAATGTTAAAGCGGAATGCAAATGTACTCACCGCAGAGGAGAATGACTCTGCGCAAAAGAAAGCAAAGAAGTCTACAAAAGATGACAAAGCAAACTCTCTCTTTAACCTACTCAACGATCCCCTGGATGTCGAAGAACAACAACTTCTCGTTACTCAGACATACTCGTTGCTTGCTATCCGGCATATATCGGAACCAAAAATATACAAAGAGGCAATGCAACTCCCTGAAGCCGCTCAGTGGAAATCTGCAGCGCGGTCTGAATACAAGTCCTTAATGGAAACAAAACCAGGGTTCTTACAAAATTACCCAAAGACCGAAAAGCATTGCAAGGTGGCTGGGTATTTGTTGTCAAATATAAAGGAAATGGCAAAATTGACCGCTACAAAGCACGCCTTGTTATCAAAGGATTCTTGCAGAAGCATGGCATTGACTACGACGAGATATTCTCTCCGGTCATCCGCATGGAAGTTCTCAGACTTCTTCTGACGATTGCCGCACTACTTGACATGGAAATACATCAAATGGACGTGAAAACCGCGTTCCTTAATGGTTTTCTCGACGAAGAAATCTACATGGTACAGCCCGAACGATTTACTGTCCGAGGGAAAGAAGGGCTCGTGTGTAAGTTGCTTAAACGCCTATATGGTCTCAAGCAAGCACCTCGAATCTGGTATCTCACGCTCTGTGCATTCTTAACTTCGATGAAATTTCGGAAACTGGCAAAAGACCAATGTGTCTTTGTCGGAAAAGTTGATGGACACACGTGCTACATACTTGTGTACGTTGATGATCTTCTCATCATTGCTCCGACACTCTCCACCATCAATTACATTAACGACGCTCTGGAACAGCGCTTTAAAATGTCTGACTTGGGAGAAGCCCAGTACCTCTTGGGTTGGTCTATCGTCCGAGATCGACAGAACAGATCTATCTTCATCCACCAAGAGAAGTACGCTACCAAAGTACTTGATCGCTTCTCGCATCTTAATGCTCATCCAGTTGGTACACCTACGGATCCAAGCACAAAGCTATCTCTCACAATGTGCCCACAAACCGAGGCAGAAAAGAAAGAGATGCAAGCGATCCCGTACAGAGAGGCAGTCGGTAGCTTCATGTACTTGATGATGGGAACCAGACCCGATCTGGCTTATTTCCTACGAGAGGTAAGTCAATTTCTAGCCAACCCAGGTAAAGCTCACTGGAATGCGGTTAAGAGAGGCCTTAAATACCTCAATGGCACGAGAAAACTGGGCATTACCCTAGGAGGAAACCAAAACCTAGAGCAGTATAAAGCACAGCAGTATCTATCTGCCTTCTCAGATGCAGACTACGCTAACTGCCCTGATACTCGTCGATCTGTAGGAGGATATATCACATATATGTGCGGAAGCCCAATGTCATGGCAATCTCGGAAACACCACACGGTTGTGTTATCCACAACAGAAGCTGAATACATCGCTCTGCGCCACTGTATGCAAAAAGTCATTTTCTTAAATCTTCTACTCGTCGAATTAGACCACAAAAGCCCACATGCAATCACTCTATATGAGGACAACCAAAGTTGGATTAAGCTTTCATATAACCCTGAGTTGCATGGTAGAAGTAAACATATTCACATTAGATACTGCTTCGTGCAGGAGAAAGTGGAACTAGAAGAATTTGAGATCAAATACTGTAACACGAAAGACGTGGTAGCTGACATTTTCACGAAACTTAAGCAAGATCAGCATTTACAAAGTTAAGAAACGCACTTTGTTAATGAACCTAATAAAAATCACACCAACACTTAAGAACTCCGAAACAAAACAAAACAAAAAAAACTTTTTAAACAATTTCTAAATATTCAAATAAATCAAAATTCATTAAAGTAAGATATGCCCCCTCAAAATCTGATACACAAACATTCACAAGTACAGGAACAAAACTTGAATTTTCCTAAAACGATAAAAAAAGGCAAACAAAAAATTGAATTTTAAACTTAAAACTACATGGATGAATATCATCAATTCTCCGACCTTACTAGGTTTTAGTATGAGCATTAATAACCAGTCATCAATTTTATTTTGTAAGATAGCCAATCATAATATTTACAAAATCCTGTCGACCAATCGAAACGATAAGGGTTAGGGTGGTCATCTGAGCCCCCTCCGACGTTATCGGGTCGGAGGGGCAAGGAAATTTATATATATATATATATATGCCCCTACAAATTTCAAGATGTTTGCATGTTTTGCGCATATCATCATATACCCGACCTATCCGACCGGCGCAATCATTGCAATCCATGGGCTTTAAGAAAATGCATGTAATAATATATTTAACGCTTTTTAAGAATAAGCAGATATTACAGTAGCAATACGATGTTGATACGTGCACATATAGCAGAAGTAGATAGTATGCGCCAATTATTATAGTATGCACTGCATCACTCACTACGCAAACTAGTAATTTACCATATACTAGGGTTCTAGAGGCCAAGTCCCTGTACCATGGCCGCTAGGACCGCTCCCTCCGCATGGACCTAGTCTGCTTTCACTATGCTGCGGCCCGTCCCACTCGTTCTCGGCCGTCTTGCTGCCCCACTGACGCCCTCCCTCCCTCCGTCCATCCTCCCTCCCTTCTCTGCTTCTGCCCTTTTGCCGTCCCGTCGCCGTCCTTCCGCCGGCCAGCCACCGCCCAGCCACCGCCCTTTTGCCGTCCTGCCAGTCAGCACACTGCACCCGCCCGCCGCTCGCACCGGCGTCCACCTGCTCATTGCCGCCCTCCTCGCTCTTCCAATCTTTTTTTTAGAAATGCTAAGTTTAAGATGTGGACCACTACATCTACAATTAAAATTTATATATTTATTTCTAGAGTTACCTACCCTTATGTACCATCTTTTGGTACACGTCGGAGAAAATCGGAGGTCGGAGATTTTGTGGTATGGACCTGTCCTCAACTGCATACACCCCATCAAATGTTTCGAAAAAGTTTGTAAGAAGATCCTCACGATTAGGGAAGTAGTGGTAGTTGTCAGAGTCAATGAAGACAAATTTGTCACCGACCAAGGCTCGGGTAATGCAGTGCCAGGTCCCTGGAAGCTGCCCTGGCCGGCGACCAATCACCAAATGTGCCGGTCGACGACTCCGAATCACGGAGGCAGGTCCCCTGGCCCGTCTCTTGAATCTTGCCTTGACATTGAGGAACCACAGCTGTTTCCGCCTTTTCTGCAGCCCCTTTTGAAGGGCATCCATCGTGTAGGCTCCGTATGAAGGGTGGTCATGGTCCTCATTAGGTCTCACCAGTGCCAGTTTTGCCAAAATAGGTTTCATGGCAGCGGGGGTCAGAAAGTCCCTCCGCTGAAGGCTGTTGTTGATCGAGAGGAGACCACACATCGAATAGCGATTTCCCAGGATTTCCCGGTACTGACACAGTACAGAAACTTGGCTAGATACCGGCATCTAAATAAATAAATAAAAAAACAGGGTTAATAAATTCCGATATATACAAAACCAAATTTCAGCTCGAGTCCATTTCTCTGACTTTAGTCATCCGAGCCAAGAAAAGATGAACCGTAAGTGCCGAAGCACTCCCGTTACTACCAAAAGGTAGAGGGGACGTAGTTCCCCAGCTCTTCATAACTGTAGCAAAGATCACAGACTGTTGCATTTAAGCACATTATACAAATCGGCGACCTTAAAACAGGGAATCTGAGAACCTTGGAGCTTGAGGCTTGACTTGAGAGGAAGTTGTAAAATGAGAAGTGAAATTGTCGTTATCTACTTTACTCCAAGCACACTACAACGCAGAGGTATAGATCTCCTCAGCAATATAGCCTTCTAAGATCTAGAAGTAGGCGATACCGAAAAATTGCGGCGGGGATCTCGATAAGACGGCTGCAATCAGACAGCCGAGAATGTCTCTGTTCAGACCCAGAGAGGTTGTCAGAGGTTGTGACTCAACAGAGACATGCGACTGATCTTAAAAATGATGTTCAAACATCACCCTCCTCAAAGTAATCAAAATAGTTTATTCTTATTTACAGGAGGAGCAACAACTGGAGCACAAGCCACAAAGGTTCCGGCAGTTAACTTTCTCAATCACAATTAAATTCTTCCTGAACTCCTCAAGTCTCCTACGCTAGAAGCACTATGTAGTACCGTAGTTTATGGGGGGGGGCAAAATGTCTCCTTTGACGGCCTAATGACTTGACCTTCTATAGTATAATATAGCCAGGTCAAAAGTGCCCGTCCACGAAAGGGTTAATTTCGACAAATAATTTTTTGTCTCATTCGATCCGACAAAACACGGTGGTGTTCGAAACTGAAATATTTCAGAAACCAATTTTTGAAATAACGCAGTTCGTCATTAATGTATATTTTTATTAATCGTTTCTAACATTTCAGCATGACTATTCTTTCATTGGTTGGTATTTCTACCAACCCTAGTCGAGTAATACAAAATACTCACATGTCAATAGTAGAATGAAGCGCGGGCGTGTAGCGACCCGCGGGTCGACGCGCCGTTCGCTGCGGCGGAAGAACGTGGTGGTGGACGAGGAAGACGAGGACGAAGCGGAAGACGTGAGTCAAGAGGAAGATGAGGCGGAGGACGAAGAAGCAGATGAGGAGGAGGAGCAGAAGACGCCCCCGCCCAAGTTGACGCGTGCGCAGGCCAAAAAGCGGGAGGCGGAAGCAAAGAAAAACAAGAAGAATACCCAAAAGAAGACGAAAAAAGAGAAGGATGAAGTGGGAGAAGATGAAGACCAGGAGGAGGACGAAGAAGACGAGGACGACGAAGATGAAGAGGACGAGGAGGAGGAGGAGGCCGACGTCGAGGAGCGACGCAGGGGCACTCGTGGACGCGGAGGCCGCAAGCGGCAGCTGAGAGGGTCCAAGCCTCCACCCAGAAAGAAGCAGAAGCGGAAGGTAATTGACTCGGAAGACGAGGATGAAGCTGAGGAGGAAGATGAGGAAGACGAAGAAGGTACCGAGGAAGACGACGACGAAGAAGAAGCGGAGGAAGGTACCGAGGAAGACGATGATGAAGACGACGATGAAGAGGAGGAGGAAGTGGAGGAAGTAAAGCCTCGGACGAGAAAATCGCGGAAGGAGGAGAGCAAAACGACGCCTAGAGGCAAGACGAGAGCGGCGGCCAAGACGGCAGCGGAGAAGAAGGCGTCAGAGAAGAGACCGATGAAGAGACGACAGGCGCTGAAGAAGATCGAAGAGAGTGCGGAGAGTGAGGAGGAAAACGAGGACGAAAAAGAGGAGGAAGACGACGCTAAGAGTGAAACGAAAGACGAGAAACCGTCGAGCGACCCACCGTCTGCAGCAGCCACGCCGTCGTCGTCGCCTGCGAAACGCAAGGGCTTATCGATTGACACACTGATGAACGACGCGGACGAGGAAGATGAGCAGGAAGAGCAGGAAGATGTTGAAATGACGCCCGCTTCGGCGTCTGCGTCGGACGCTGGAACAGACGCGGACGAAGTTCCGGACCAGCACTATCGAGAGGCGCTCAGTGGCGCTACAACCGAGCCAAAGTTGATGGAAGTTCTGACGGAAGCGTGTGGCCGACTAATCCGAGAGAACAAGCCGCCCAGCCGCCTATTTGCCGTGTCCTTGCTCGCTGCTGTAAAGGAAGATCCCAAGCGATTCAGCCAGCCTGTTGTGCTCAAGTATCTGCTGCGTTTACTGCGATCAAAGCACTACATTGGCATCAAGGACCCGTCGGACCACGGTAAGAAGCCAAGCACAGCCACAGCTTTGGGATCAGGGCATCTCTCAGGGTCGACAGAATACTATCAGATCTCGCTGCCCGTACTGGTGGCGAACCTTCTTGTGCAGATCATGAAGAACGTCGACGAGTGGCCAGTTGATAGCGTCAAGGTGTTTCTGGACGACTCGCTGTCTTCTCGAATCTGGGTGGACCACGAGTTGAGTCAGTTATTTGTCCAAAACGTGAAGACAGTACTGGAGACAGAGGGCACTGAGAAGCAGTCCGTGCAGCCTCTTGTTCGGAGGCGTTTCCAGGGATCTACTGTAGTGCAGGACATGCGAGATCTGATCACCAACCATATTCGTTCGCGTCTTGTGGAGCTGGAGAAGGAAAAGCCTGGAAGTATGGGAGGATCCTCTGGAATCGGCGGCAATCACGCTGTTCGCAACATGATTATGACGCTGGCCGACTGTGCGAGTATCGCTCAGGTGCGCGTCTTCGGGGCCGAAAACATGGAGGCGTGGTTGCAGAATCCGTCTGTTAAAGGTCAAGCGAAGGATCTGCTGAACAAAATCGTCGCGCTCTGCAAGTCAACGAGCCCCCATGATATCGCCACTGTGGATTTGCTGTTAAAGTTGAAGCTCAAGTCGACCATGTTCCAGCTCAAGGTCGAAGCTATCACACATCTTGTATGCAACAACCCCGTGTACTTGAAGCGTGCGCTGGCGATGTTTATCGCTCGAGAGCGACCCAACAACATGTCGAGGGACGTGGACAACATCAAGATGCTGCAGCATATCTTCCGGGCGTCGCGCTCAATGTCAGCGTCTTCTATCCTAGGCAGCCCCGACGACTTGTTTTACCGTCGGCCCATCGAGCACCAAGGCACTCTTGCTAGTCGAGAACTGGCGCGTGTGTTCCGAGAAATGGCCAGTGTCTCGGAGGTTGCTCCAGTGCTGAAGACGATTGTACGTAAAATTCTGAAGCAGTTGACGTTCGAGCAGGTTGATATCAAAGCTCTATGCGTCGGTATTCTCGATAATGACGGCCATTGGGATGCGCTAACAGGTGACGCTCGCGTGCTGGACTATATGGGTCTTGTCACGGGTGTTGTTTGGCTCATCTTGCTGATGAGAGGTGCAGCTGTCAAAAGTCTTCAAATCCAGCAATCGAATGCCAACAACCGTCAAGGCACAGGGTCCACTGCACTCGGCTCAACAGGCCTTAAGCATGGCGGCACACAAGCTATCCCTCGGCGTGGATCCAACCCACCGCTTCCAGTGTCCAGAGCGAACAGGCTTGGTCCTCAGAAAGGCAAGCAGTCTTTAGCCAAGTCATCTCTATCTTCAGGTCACGCTTCGATTGGAAGTGGTGGTAGTACCTCGAGCGGCCATGGACCAAGCGGAAGTAGCGGGGGTAATGGCAATGGCGCCTCGACTGAAGGCTCGAAGACAGTGAAGATATCTGTATGGGCCAAGGAGGAACTGCAGCAAGCGCTTGCATTTGTACAGCGAGAGGCCATCATCTGTTGTCGTGATGTCTTGAAGCACTTTGGACTCAACGGCGACTCACCCTTCGAGAAGATGCTGTATGAGAGTATTGTGAAGAAGCTGCTCTTCCTTGATATCCCTTCGGATGTGCAGCCTACAGAGCACGACCGAACGTGCTTTCAATCAACAAAGGAGGATATTCCCGTCCACGAAGACTCGCTGGAGCTTCTCACAAGTTTGTACAATTCATGCAGAGCTATTGACCGCGTGGAAGCTCTGCGGACGCTGGAGACAATTGTCTTCCGTGGTGCCGAGGCTCATATGCACCGTGAGGTGTTGTGGCGTCACCACGAAGACGATCTAGCTGCGTATGCCCAAAACGGGGGAGTACTCGGAATTGAAGTGAAAAACAACCAATTCGTCCAGAATCTACTCAAGCTCGCGTTGGTACGTACTCCGATTATGCGATATCACGTGTAAATTCAGTTACAAACTCACATTCTTTTGTTGATAAAGTGGCAAGGCACTGACGACAAACAAGAGCAAGAGTTCTGCCATTCAAGTCGCTTCTGGATTTGTTGCTCCATTTTATTGGTAAGGAAAACTTCTGCTGAAAGAACTTGAAGGTGACAACTAACATCTTGTGCCTACTTTGTAGATTGTTGGATGCTTTAACCCGAATACCATCGGCACTTTCTTGTGGGAGGAGTTCCCGACGCTGCGAGGTTTGATGCAGATGGTCATTACGGGTCGGTATACGTTCCCAGCGATCAGTGCTCCGGACCCGCTGCTACTTGGCAAGCACAGAAGTGCATTCCCTGACCTGATTCAAGGCAACCTGCAGTTGCGAGATTACGAGCAGCAGCTGTTACAACTCAACCAAGGCGATCCTTCAGTGACTGGAGACCCGCTGATGCTGTTTGATGCCAATGGATTGGCACGCCAACCGCCCCCAGCGATTCTGGAGCATCTCCGTACTCTGGACCGCAAGTTTAAACTCGGCATGCGTCTTCGACAAAGTCGGAAGAAGGACTTCCTGATGGAGATGGTTGCTGGAAACGACGACAAGAACGCAGTGCAGAACGTCAGTGCTGCAGCTAACAGCGCGTGGTGGATTGCAGACATCGTTTGCGAAGACTTCGACACGGTGCAGTATCTACCTTACGGATGCTTATGCCAACTGCTCCTTCTAGCAGTACGTCCTAGAAACAAGAACAAGTCAGACTCTCCAGCCCAAGTGCCTCTAAACCAACCAGCACTGGCTCAGATCATCCCACGCTTGCTCACCAAACTGCGCGAGTATCTTGCTGGTGGGAACGACAGCTCCGATGTGGCATCGAACGTTGTCTTGTACTATCTCGAGTGTCTGAACTCTCCCGAGTTATCTACACGACGAGTGGCTTCTCACATCCTCTACCTGTTGACATCGCCTCGCAGCGTTGACGAGCTTTCGGAAGAAATCCATCAAGTGGTTGGTGCAGAGAGTACCCAGAGCTTCTCGTGGCTGCGTGAGTTGGCGAAGCTGCCTTGCTACAGCAGTATCCGCAGCAAGATCTTCCGCTCGCTGGAGAATCTACTCGAGCTAGAGGCATCAATCCCATCGCTCCGTATGTGCATGAAAGCGTTGTATGACTTCTCAAAGGATGGCAACTATACTAACGAACCGGGAGATATCAAGAAGGATGAAGACAACCATCCCAAGAAGTCCGCTATTGAGCAGTCATTGTTGCTGGCGGGAGCGTATGGAAGACTACTTGCTGGACGTGAGTTGGTGGCGACTCTATTGCTGAAAGACCGCGACATCTTTGCCATCACAGTGGAAGTGATCTGGCGTGCGATCGAGTCCCAATTGGAAATCGCCCCTCAACTCAAGGCAACATCTGGCATCAGCTTCTCCGATTGCAAGGTGTTTTACGTCACAGATGGAGCCAACACGATTCGTGAGATTAAACTCCCCCTCGCAATTATCCATGGCGCTATCCAGGTGTTATGCTCGCCGCATGCACACACGGATCCACGGACAATGGCTTCTGCAGACAGCAGAACTGCGACGTGCTTGGCGAGGTTAACGCAGAGTTTGTTCCCGAAGGCGACGTCGAATGCTGCGATTCTGTCGAGTACAGGACTCATCGCAACGAAGGATGCGCGTCTGTATCCGGACCATTTGTTGTCCAAGCTTGCAGCCGCAGCTTCTCCCTCGACATCTCATCTCTGCGCTACTGCTGTTCGTGCGATGTCTATGGAATCTCTGTGGAATCTGCTCGAGCAATCCGCTCTAAGCGAGCAGTGTCTAGAGATGACGTTGCTTTCAGCTGTCGAAGCAACGAAGAAGAATGAAAGCAAGGCTGTTGCTAGTCTTCTAGCTGTGACCAACGCGTCAGATATCTCGATTGCAGCAGATATTGTCCTGATGCAGCTGAGTGCGTACGATATGGTCACCTCACTCTCGTCAGGTGTATCGGAGAAACTTAAATTACTGCGCGAGTGGCTTCTGGAGCGGAGCGGGTCAAGCAACAACATGACAACTGATGAAGAAGACGAAGAAGCACTGCTGCTCTCAGAGGGATTTACTACCTTCAAGATCCAAACAACCCAGGCCAGCACCAGTACCGGGTCGTTTTACTCGGAACCTATGGCGGAAGCACCCAAGCAGTCAACAACGTCTAAACCTGAAAGCACGAGGACTGATCTGGAGGTTTTCAAGGATGCCTACATTGGTACCTCGCAAGTGAAAGCCGACGGGGCTGCAGTTGCACCGTTGGAGGGTTTAGTGAAGGAGCTGAAGCGAAACTCAAGTACTGGATCCTTGCCCGATGTGATCGCTCCTGAAGACTTTGTGTATGCCGCCAGTCAAGCAGTGCGACGGTCGTGTCCGAAGAGTGGCGACTCCACCACGCATTCTCCCGCTGACTTGTGGACACTGCAGATGTCATTATTGCACTTTGCTAGATCATCCTGCAACTCGCAAGCTGCTGCTGCTCAGCTGGCCAAGGCGTTGCTTCTAGTTGTGGGCCACTTACCAACCTGCTCTAGTGTTTCTCACCGTACGGAATGCAGTGGATTCGTGCGTCGTGCTTTGGACAACCTAGGAGAAGGCTTCACTGAGTCGTACTCGTCTTCCGTCAGCTTCATTCGTCACCTAGTTCAAGCCTCCACCACTGAGGGTCTTTTCACTCTGGAAGATCCGATGGTAGCGTGCGACGTCTATAGAGTGTTGCAGATTGTGATACAGTCCATTGATCGCGCTGTTGCGCGGTGGAAAGCTCAGGGCGTTTCGCTTCGTTTGGATGCCATGACTCTACACAGTCTCGTGGTACTCGTCAAAGAAATAGAAGTGCTCAAGCGGATTCAAGACAAGAACTTTGGAAAGTCGACCGAGTCTTGCGCTACTGATCTCTTGACGAGAATTGCGCACGATCAAGCTGATGATACGACGCTGCTGAACCTTCTGGATCCGATCATGACTGCAGACCCACATCTTGGAAATCTCGGGGACGTCGTAGCGATCCATGGAGATGTCAAGCGTGAGCTTATCGGGGTATGTACGCTCTTCTACACTTGCTGGTATGCATTTCGTACTAACCAATTTGTATTGATCTTACAACAGACCTTGTACTTCCAGAACCCTAAGGTCGTGGCTGGATTACTCGACATGCTGAATCCAGACTGGGAGTCGCTTGTTAACTTCGATATTGATGGAGATCAGCACGAAATGGCCATTCGGGACCGCCGACTTATTTCTCAAGTGGACGAGATTCTACGTGATCTGACACGAGACGGAAGTGAAGTCGTTGAGCGATTCCGAGAGCTGACCCGATGTCACCCCATGTTGGTGCTCTCACGCTTCCCTCGACAGCTCATGCAGCACTTCGGAACGGTATCGCTGTCCCAGCTCTATCTCAACACCACGTTCTTCCAAAATGTACGTCTATCTGCGTGGATACAGACAGCAATGACAACATCTAACTCTCTTGGTGTTTAGATTCTGAGTGCTATACAGATTATGAGACCTCATATGCGTCACAGGCCCAGTGTGTTGGGGCCGTTCTGCCATTTCTTGTTCGAGATCTTACGTGTCATAGCAGACCACCACGCTGTTGAGTTCCACCAGCTCGTCTCTCACACTTGGGAATTCTTCTATGACGCACTGGAAGCGGACATTGATCTCGCTAGTGAATTGATATTCTCAGTACCGCGTGTTGTTCTGCTGGAAAGTATAGTGAACATGTACGAGTTGCAGCCCGAGACCGTGACATTTGGAGAAGTCATGGCACAGCGTCACAATGAATGGAGTTTGCGTGCGACGCTGAACTCCATTAGAGCAGGACGCAAGCACCACGGAGCTACGAGTCAGCAACAACAAATCGAGCAGTTGTTGAGTCGCATTGAGAGCCAAGAACTTGCGTCTACTACAGGCAAGCCGTTGATTGAGCGTACAGACATGACTGCGGTTACCCAGGGGCTACAGGCTATCGATTTCTTGTGTGCGAAGACGGACCAAGGCGCGTCAGTTGTGGCGTTACTGCGACGCTGTGCAGCTCCAGTGGCTTCACTGCTGGTGACCGAGACGGTGACGAAAGCAGTGATGGCTACACTATGCCAGACGTTGCTGAATCTCATGAAGTACGACTCGGTCTGTGTAGAGGAAGTCATGCGCCAGTATGTCCAGTGTCTGCGTGTTGTGCGACCTGGTTTGAAGGAAGCTGCTGTGAATACTGTTTTGGAATTCCTCATCTTTGCTGATGCACGACAGCGGAGACAAATTCTGCAGCAATTATTCGATGACCCAAGCGAAATCGCCAAGAGTAAGCTCGGAGTTTATCTAAAGAGCGCAGCATTCCGAACAACACTCCTGGTAGCATCCAAAACATGAATGTAAAGTCTTCTAGCATGAATTTTGTTTAGTCTTTTTTCGTCGACTTGGCAGCGAAAGACTCTGACGTGGTGCTGATGACGATACTCAAGACGATTCCAGCAGCATGACCGATCAGCGTGCCATACACACAAGTCAGTGGCCATTGCTACAACAATGTGACAATACCGTTAGCCGATGCTACAGAACATTTCAAAGGTATTGTTTCTTACCTGCCACGGTCGATCCCAATCCAGAGGAATGGGAAGAGCACCAACATAGGCACCGAGCATGGCACCAATGGACGAGCACACGAGGTATAGCTCATGCGAGTTGCTGGCACTGTGTATCAAATAGTCAGCAACAGAGCAGAACCTTCCCATTCACATCAACATACCTGAGCTCCAGTATCAGATCAAGCCACTTGCGTGGTGCACACCCCAAATGTAGCGCCAAGGGCATTGCCACACAACTCGAGAGCAATACAGCCAGCAACAGCGTCTGCATCCACAGACTAGAACACATTATGAGCATCAGTTTAGATGCTCTCGAATTTGAAAAGACTACAGACACGTACTCGACAACGGGAGCGCCGAACAGGACCACAGCCACATGAAATACCATTGATCCCAGAACGAGACCCAGAACCCCTTCAGCAATTTGCTTGGGGAGTGACTGGTCTGGAGAGCGGAGGATCGCTAGGTCTAAGACCAACAACAATCCCACAATGGCGGACACTACGGGCACCAGGCCACTCAGAACAGCATCTTCCAGGTGCTGACCAAATCTGCAATAATTGCAGTAGTAATTAGTGCAATCGAGGAGAGGGGGCTGCTGAAATTTCTTGAGCTGTTACGCACAGTAGAGCGGGGAGGTAGTGAACCAAGGCGCCAGGCAGCACGACCTGCAGGGACTTGAAGACCAGCGCCATGACGAGACAAGGCGACGATGATGAAGACGCTGTGATTATGAAGTAACAAAAGTGTGTATCCTACAATATTTATCCTAAGCTACGTATTGGGTTGTTTGAGGGTGATTCGTTGAAACTAGGTAAAGCTTAGGATATATGCGTGTTATGTGCGACTTTATTCCCACACTTTTCCTGAGACGTCCCACGCGATGGCCTTCACGAACGAGAAGCGATGGCTAGCGGCCTTCAGGCTCGATAGACTGGAAGAGAAAGCACCCGCAATGAACTCAATGGCTGCGTGGCCCACCAGCTCCGCCGCCAACTTCTCCAGACTCCCACAAGAGCCAGGAGTCAAGATGGTAAGAAGACATTGGCCACCTTTATGGAATGAAACAGTGGAATGAAACATATCTGGTAATTCTTCAATGGCAGATCGTGACTCCTAAAGCTTATTATGCTACACATGACACCATGCCACCTCCAAACCAAGGTTTGTATAGCTGTTTGGTACTATAAAAACTGCAGATGAAGACTGACAATAATTTCATTTTGCATGTTGAATAGTGATCCTGATGACATCCACGCATAGTGTCATGAGGGAGCAGTACCAAGCTGCAGACCGCAAAGTAGGTGATAGAGAATGATGAAGTATTATTTGTTTATTAACAATGGTTTGCGGTGCTGTAGGTTTCTGGCAAAAGAGGGAACGGAGAGCAGAACTCGTCGAGTCCTCGGCCGCCGAAGCAGTTTCGACCTTGTGAGTGACGAGATGGGGCTGTGACTAGTATGGTAACTGTGTAGGAGGAAGATGCGAGTGAATCAGTTAATTTATAGACGGCTATGAACACTGAAAACCGGAGACACAGACGAATTTTGCTGGAGGATCCGCATCACAAGCTCAGTCGTCAAAATTGCAGAGAGAATCCATGGCTTGCGGAGAGAGCAGAGTGTCGGTCCAATTCAGTAATTTGTTGATTTCCTCCTCGTCCACGGACTCGTCTAGATCGACGTCAGCGGCATTAGAGGACGGCGAGAATCGAGGTGACATGACTGTTGCTTGATGTGAGAGCTCTTCGCTTGGAGACGCGTTTGTCGATATGCTCAACTTGTTGAGAGGTGGCATTTTTAAGGGTGACGAGACCTTGGAGCTTCTATTATCACTGATCAAGGTCGCAGCACTGGCAGGACGAGCAGATTGTATGGATGGCAATTTGACGCTGACCTTCACAACCTCCTTCATCTCCGCTTTAGCTTCTGGTGTTCCTTGTTCTGGTGCGTCACTCTTGTCATTATTACCGGCTTGTTTGATCCACGTTGCAAACATTTTCTTGCGTTTCTGCACCTGCTCCAATGCCGTGAGTGCTTTCTTGCTCTTCTTTGGCTTTGGAGGCTTGAATGGAGCTCTTGATGAGCTTCCATCGTGTGTTTCCTGATTATTCTCATGTGGTTTTGTACGTCGATGCACTACACCAGTCTCTCGTACACTCCTGTGACTCGTTATAGACCTCGTCGATACAGTAGAGACACTTGATCGTGCCGACTCTGGTCGACTGGAGTATCGAGTGCTCGCTTCAGAGCTAATACTGCTACGTGATCTCGTCAAATGTCCATTCCTCGAGCTCGTACTCGATCCATTTGTCCTCGACTTGGCAGCTAACAACATCGAAGGAAGCTTTGCAACCAGTGGCTGCATGAGCTCTCGGATCCGGTCATCGTCCCCTGGGGCCAGTTGATCACACAACTGGGCCTCCCATTCCTGACGCAGTCTCTGAATCGCATCGTCCTGGATCTTGGCCAGTCGATACTCCTGCCATGGCCCAATATACATGACTCGTAGCTTCCTCGCTCAGCAATATCAGGAGGATTTCTTTGTGTCGTTTCGTTATGCTATCTATAGATTCGTCATAAGATCAAAAACTAATCATACGCCAACCGCAATCGTACTTAACGTTTAAGTCACATAAAACCGACATGCTCAGGTCGCCGCTCATTACGAAGACTACTTAAGTATGGGACTTGTGCGTGTGCTCAAGGACAAGGCGCCGGTGCTGGTGCTCAGTGGCCTTTGCGCGGGTGCAGCCTACGCTGTGTATTACGCGCACCACCAGCAGATCGCCGAGAAGAAGGTGCGTGTTCCTTGGGTGCTACATAGACTGTATTAATTAACGCTTGATGCTGTTGTAGGTGATGCGTCAGGGTGTGATCAATGACATTAAGCGAGACAGGATCAAGCGGAGGGAGATGCAGCAACAAGAGCAGCAATAGACACGAGTCACAATCTGTGGCAAGCTAATGACCAATTTCCCATTATTGTCAACTCGTCACCACTTCAATTATTGCCTTGTAGTGGTTTGAATGACCTCTAGGACCTCGACACACCGTTCTCGGTCGATGTAGTCGTACTTGAGCAGCATCTCATCCGCCCAATACGGGAAGAACGCGTCCATCTCCGTCGCGTCCAATGCAAATGACGCAGTGCTGTCTTCATTCATTGCAGAGAAGTTTTCTCCAAGAATCTTCTTGACACGTTGGAGAAACAGTCGAGACTCCGCTTCAAATTCTGCTGGGATCTTGCAGGCGTAGCAGGATACAAGCAACTCCAGTGGATACTGCAATAAGCAACACACTTGATCAGCATTGCAGGAACGAAGCTGAGAGTGTGATAGGAACTTCTCTAGCTCTTCGAAGAACGGCTCAATGTCTTGCAAATTACAGAAGCGCACGAAGTCCGACGATGCAGACAGTTCAACAAGCTCCAGTGTTGTCAGCGTACTGACGATCAGTTCTGTTGCTTGCTCAAAGCTCATCGGGTTGTCAGTCGAATGGTGGTCTAACGCGAGGTTGACGGAGACAAAAATTAATTGCCAAATTGACGTCGAGGAACCGCGATACAGAGCCAAAGCCAGACGACGAAACAACGCCACTTGCGAAGGGAGAAGAGCTATAAGCTGCAGTTCTTCTTGACCTCGAGCGATGTTGGACGTGACCCACGTAGTAAGCCACGCTTTGAGAAGGTTGCAAGCGATTCCTTCGAACTCTAGATGCAAGTACAGATCGGTCACGTAGCTGGTGAACGTGCGCTCCCAACGTCTCATAGCTGCAGAGGGCTCCTCTAAAAACGACTGCGAGTAAAGCAGAGCTCCCGACAACCAGTGAACGAAAGGCATGAAGAGCTGAAGAGGAGGCTCCATCACTGCCTTCACCTCAGTATTCCACACTTCGGACACGCTCATTCGCAACGCCGCAGCAGTTCTCTTATCGATAAGACGTTCACAGGTCCACGACGCACCATTCTCCACAATGGACAACCTTGCACACTTCGACATATTTAGCAAACCTAGCACTTCTCCATCAAGCTGCCCTCTTACTTCCAGCGTGTCGGAACCAATCGATAGTAGCCGCAGAATATTGCCACTGATCAGTCGCAATCTGTCGTAACCTTCTGCGTCCATGTCCTCGTAGGCACCTGCGCTTCTGCTTGAACATGCAACCAGAGCTGTGTTGACCAACGCAGTCAGCCAAAATGCTTCTCGTAGCACTCTCTCGCCTAAGCCGGTTCTCAGTATCTCCTCCAGATTAGTCAGCAACAGGTCAGCGCGTAGACTGCCTCCACAAAATTCAGTCTTCAAAATATACTCGAAGAAATGAGGAAGCCACGTCGTAGCAGACTTGTCATCAAACAGCAGCACCAACCATGAAATTCCTCCTTCGAAGATCGAAGCAGAATCCGCCAGAAGCTTCAGCGTATTCTCCTGATAAATGAGAGCTTTGGTGAGTCTGGCATGGGTCTTGAGTTGCTTGTCGTCGACTTCTTCATCGTGCTGGATTAAAGCAGAACTCGAAAACTCTAACCCCTTAAGTGGAGAGCTTAAAGTTTCGACTGCGGCTTCCGGTAACAGCATTCGGCCGTTCTTTTGTGCAATCTTCAGGATGTGGTCAAATGCATCGGGAGAGCGACATTTAATCATCGCTTTAAACAGCAAGACCGTCAGAGTTTCCAGATCCGGGAATGCTGCTGCCGATAGATACAAATGCAACGCCATTTCCACTCGAACGGCTGAAGGCAAAGCAGATCTGGCTGTAGAACTCAGAAAAGACGAACAATCTTTGTTGCTCGGTCTTCCAGCTTCTTTCACAAACGCTTTCAACGCAAAGACAAAGTGAGGATCGAGTGGAGTCATGAGCAGAACGCGCATGCTTCCAAACTCGTTCGGGAACCATCGAATTAGCCTCGTACACAATAGCGACAGCTCCATCCGCGATTCTTTGCCGGCGAAAGATGCACCATAAGTCTCGACAAATGAGAACCATCGCTCAAGCTGTTGTCTTAACTCGCTAAGAGTCCCAATCGAATCTTTGATGCTGCTCATCAGGTCACGAGTCTGAGCCAAGTCAGCGAATCTTACAGCACGAAGGAGACGCTGGAGCACATCGCTGGAGTGTGATACAAGCTGAGCATCAGAAGTTACAGATGTCTTGACAAGCTCAACTCCAGCTTTTACAGCAGATAGCACTTTGTAAAGACTTGGTTCCAGTGTCGACGGACAGTTTGGTGCGTTTTGTAGCACCTCTGCTGCATATTCCAGCGCTTCACTAGTTTCTTGATGGACCACTTCCTTCTTCTCGTAGCATTCAAGAAGTTCTGGGAGCATATCCAACTCAACCATGGCTTTAAAACCCCATCTGTTCGCCCTAGTAGGCGGCTCTTTTGTGTGAGTACGTTGGTACGCATCCCATGCCTCACAAAATCGCATCAGCGATACAAGGTATACAGAAGTTGGCTCGCTTTCCTTCAAGATGGAGTTGACAGCATGAACGATACCAGTGAATAATTGCTGTCCAGTATATCGTCGCTTCGGATTAGACTTGCCTGTGGACTTCATGCCAGAAACCAAGGCGGGAAACAGCAAGTTTCTCATTCCTCGTTGGTAAATCTCGTTTGTGGAGCGTATACTTATGCTCGCTTTCAGCAGCTGGGCGATCAGGCTGGAAACCCAACCTTCTCCGAACGTAGTCATCGTCTGTGCGAGTGTCTGACGAACTGCAACACGATCACTTTCCTTGCGTATAAGGTGTCGCCGTATCGAACCATTAGTCGATATACTTTTACCACCAGTCGCAATAATGCCATACATGATAGCACGGCAATACCTCTTAAAGGCTTGCAAGAAGTTCTCGTATCCACGCATTACCATTCGACCCTTGGCATTGACATTAAGCACGCATTTCTCAAGAGCAAGACACCATTTGATGCCCTCCTGAGTTGAACAGCCCTCGCTGTCCAGTTGAGACATTAGAACATCCCAGTGTTTGGAGTAGTCGCCGTCCTGTTGACCTCCATTACAAGGTTCTGAGAAAATCTTGTACAGGATGAAGAGGATTTCCAGCGATGGCGATGATGACTCGCCTTCATGTCGAACCTTTGAGGACGTTAACAGTTCACTTAAATATGCCCGCAGGATCCGCTTCGTTGATCCAGCACTATTAGGGACAGTAATCAGAGTGGGAGCGCCACCACCAGATCCAGTGATATTCCAAGCATGCGCAAACGTAGTGATGATACCAGATATTCCAACGCATAACGAACGAATTATCTCCACCACGATGCGAAACCCCGGTAGGTGTGCGACGCCTTCATTCCTTCCAGGCAGCATAACACTAGCAAACGCGTCTGCTTTCGAACAGTGACGAATAGCATCAGACAAAGTTATTTGCTCAGTTTTCACAACATTCTTCAACTCTCGCTCCCAAACACTCGTCCACGTCTTCCGAAAAGCATCCGTCTTATCCTCCGAATTTCCACTAACCTGACATATTCGTTCATAGTCCGCAACTGACATCGTTGGCTCCACAACATCCTCATTTTTCACCGAAATCTGAGATCTTTTCCTCCTCTTCTTTGTTTTCGCACTCGTCAATCCCGCGACTGGCAACGAATCCCAAAACGCTGACAATGCCATCAACGCCTGGTTACTTGCATAACTCTCCCCACTATTCTCTAATATCTTCGCAGTCTGCTGCGTGCATTCCACGAAAAATTCCCATCCTCCATACTTCGACCTCAAGAACTCAACACTAGCTTCACCTCGACAAAACTCACAGCTCTTTTCCATCTCCTCTAGTCCCTCTATCTTTTTACCATCTGATCTTGTCCTCGCTCTCTTTTTTGGTGGCTCACTCGAACCGCTCGTCGCTGTGGCTTCAAGAACCTCCTCGAGTATCTTCTCACAGACTTGCTGGATCCAGCTCTGCACTTCCGCCTCCAGACACTTCGCTCCTTGCTCCTGCAATGCAAAAGCCAGTAGCAGCACTCGTATCCTTAGTGGCAGCAATCTGCCAACAACAACACGCCGTAGAATGTCGAGAGATTCGAGTTTCACGACAGTCTTCATCAACTCCGCCTCTCCGATTGCCAATAGCTCGCATTGCGCCAATTTTTGACATAGAGAAGCGAGACAAAGTGTTTTGTACTCTTGGACGTCTCCACTTTGCTGTGCGACGCTCCGTTTCTTCCGTTTGCGAGGCGTTTGTGGCGTTTTGGCCATTTCTGAGGCAACGGACTGGAACTGAGCCAATACATGGCGCTTGAGCACTGGGAAGCGCACTAAATAGCGCCAATCGGGCGGCGGGGCTTGTTGCAACATGCACTCGCACATAGGGTGATAAGAAGCGGCTGATAAAGCGGCGCCAGGCTCCGTGAAGAGGCAGCGCACGCCGCGGTTGAGCAATCCCACATCCATGGCTTTTTGCATTACCGTGTATACTTCGTATACATGGTGAAAATGTATACATCACATCCTTATCCACCGCTTTGTATAATTGGGCATGGGAGAATACATAAACGTGTATAATCGGACCATTCAAAATATATGTATAATCGGACAATTCAAATATACCTATACATGTTTAATCAGACCATTGGGAAGTGATTGGAAGTTAAGTTGCGCTTGAATTGGACAAAGTTGCCCGAAGAAGGTTATTCGGTATGCCCAAACGAGGTTATACTGTATGATACTTTCATACTTTCATTATCCTGACTTATTCTGCTCTATGGCGTTCTTATGCTAGAATGTCTTGCCTCCATACCTTGAAGGTACGTGAGTGTGCTCATAACTGTAGCTCCGAAGACCGAGATGAACAAGATACACCCGACACAGCAGCACATGATCGATAGACGGATGCACATTTTTGGCCCCACAAGCACCTTAAGCATAGCAATCGGGTTGGCCGTCAGCCGCATTCGCCCCACAGGTGGAGGCAGATACGGGTTAAGATTGGGGGCATTTTGACCCTTACCAACCGGAGACGCCAAGGCTTCCTCCTCTGGTACAATTTGTACTGAGATTCCAATTCGGCCCATTTCCATAGACACTGCAGCTTCACGGTCTGTAAAGAAGATTGGGATCCACTCTGCATCGTCTGGTAATCGACCAAGTCCCATGAAATCAAGCAAACCATTGAGTGCAGCTTCCGCATCAGCCTCATCTTTCTGCTGCTTACGCTCCGCTAAAGTCGGCTCTCGACGCTTCTGGATGCGTTGTCGAGGTTTCTTAGGACTCTTTTCTCCAAGTAAAGCATTATCTTCACGTGGCAGCTTGACAACAGCATCGTTCTCGTCTTCGCTACTGCTGTCAAGACTATTGCCGGTATTCCCTTTTTCAGTGGGTTCACTGAGTGTCTCTCCTGGAAGAATGGACTGTCGTGCTAGACGCTTGAGCTCTAGGAAAGGTGCCACCGAGCGATTCGTTTCGTAAGCTCGACGCAGCCATTTGTACAGGTCTAGCTGAGCCTCTCCTAGTACGTCATTCCACTTGAGAACGTCCTTATCCCATAGCTGGATATGAAGACGCGCGAGTTCAGGTGATCGAGGAGGAAACTCGGTTTTCATGACCAAACGCCAATTCCAACATGGCTTCCCATTCGAACAACGCCAATGCGTGTCGGTACTTTCCGCTCGATTACTACCAGAGTCACCCGCACCTTCCATCCAGGCTTTAACGAAATAGTCGTTGATTTCGCTTTGGCTTTGGTCCTGTACATTTTCAGCTCTCCACACAACCACACGAACCTCAAATGTTTTTGGAGCTGGTAGTGAGATATCCACAGGCTCAATGCGAACTGCTTCTTGAGTCGTTAGGATATCCACCCATAGCTGCAAGACGCCCTGTGATGTAGTACGATTGTGTGGGACGTACAGATGTCGATACTCAATAGGTTTTAGCTTCCCTTCGCCGATCTCCTGCCACTCACGATGGAACCAACGCTCCTCTAGATCAATCGTTGTAGACCCGATCAGTTGATCCGTGACCAGACCTCGATCCCAAACGTTGATATCAAGTTGCGAAGCTCCGGGTAAAGTTGTCTCTAGTTCAAACATGCGGAAAAATTCTGGCTTTAACGTGTTGGTACAAGCGTTCGGGCGATCACTAATCCGATTACTACCCAGCTTTAAACGGAGATACGGGTCGGAATAGCCATTGGCGTTCTTGGCCTGCAAGCTTTGTCCTCGAAGCATGTAAACTCGAACGACCACGCGTTGAGGTCCATCTTGAAGTCGTCGCAACTCGAGATGCTCTTGTTTTGCTCGCTCCTCTTCCTGTGATCGAGATTCGTTCTTAGCTCTCCGTTCGATCACTGTGATCCGTCCTTTGAAGACTCCAGCACGGAGTTGTACCTTCACGCGCTCGAAACTGAACAGCGATGGACGTGAGAGTACGGGTCTTTTGAGTTGGTAAGTTTCAAGAGCTGGGCTGGAAAAATACTTCTCGAGCTCTTCGCCACCATACTGGGAAATCCACCAGTCGCGACCTCGAAGGTAGGGAGCGCGATGCTGCTCTTGATCGCGATTGCTACTCCTTGGTGAGCCAAGAACGGACCCTTGTCGATCACTAGAAGGCTGATGGGAGAGCAGGAATGCTGCCTTGCCAGCACTGTAGCGCCGCTCTTGTTCTCGACGACGTTGTTCTATCACGGCAGGATCGGTATCTTCCAGTATTTTACTGCTACTGACCCGTGCATGAGACTGTAACACCGACGGGAGGACGAGATCTCCGACGCCAGTGCCATCGTCAAGTGGATACTCCGTCTCCTCTTCAGGTTGACCTTCATCAAACAAATACTTCATCTCGCTCTCTTCTGCACCAGATTTCGTGCCCTCATTCTGTTGAATTGTCTTGCGTTTGGATGGACTTCGGAACTGAGACCCAGAGCCAGCCGCAATCTCCACCCGATACGTTGGACTCCACGGGAGTTTACTCGCTAGATCTACGATACAAGAAGCCAACGTTGTCTTGCGTAGACCTCCTAGTGTTGAATCACATACTCGAATTTGTAGTTGAGGTGCGTACAGTGTGTCAACTGGAAGCTTCACAAGCGCAACGATACGATCCAAGAAGTTCGCGTTTTTGCTGCTGGATCCCGTTGCAGATTGAGTACGCTTCACACTGGAACCGTCAACAAAGTAGCCTCCTATAAGCTCAAACTCAACATGAGGTCGTCGAATTCCCAACGTGCTGAGTGCCTTCAAATGTCGAACACCGAGAGCAACAATATCCAGGTTCGCTTCCACATATTTCGGTCTGATTGGGGCTGGGGGACGAAGAATTCCAGGCGGAGCTGATCCCGTGTGGTCGATATACTGAATCGCAACCAGTAATTGCCCTGCTGATCCACTTCCAGCTTGTTCTGCTAGTAGCAGACTCACAGAAGTGGAAGACCGACTTCGAGGCTTTTTCAACTCGTGCCAACGTGGTTTCGGTGATCCAGCAGTGGCGACAGACCGCACAGCTGAGGCCAATGACAAGCGTAATTCTCCCAGAGCCCCAGCCGCATTTCCACTCGCATCTTCCACTTGTAATACGATCTCGGGAGTGTACACCACGTCAGAAGCTGGAGCACTTGAGAGAAATACTAGAGACTCGTAGAAAAGAGGAGCTGGTGTGTTTTGGCACACCATCGTACGCTTTTGATGGCCACAACAGCGAACATTTACCGCAGGACTGGGCACACGTGCCACATGAACCGGAGACTCGAGTCCACGAGCCTGGAAAATGTGCACGCGTATCTCCCGATGTACTCGAGGGAACCGAAATGGGGCAAAAAGCTCGGTACTGTCGCCTTCGCTCATCCATGGATGTTTCGCTGCCATTTCCACTCGTCCAAAGCCTAAACGAAGCAGAAGTACTCCGGGATTCTGCGTCCTCTCAAGCGCATGTCGTGTCTGGCGACGAGATATCTCTTCTCGAAGTACAACCCACTGGCATTTTGCAGTGAAGCCACTATCAAATAATTTCTCTGCTCGGAAACGCGCAAAACTTACACTTACGAACTCCTCCTTCCTTGCAACTCCAACAGACCGACTAAGAGTGACGATAATGTCAGGAATTTGAGTCAAATCTGCTGGTAATTCCAACGCAGATCCATGCTCCAAGCACTGCTCGAACGTGGCAGTGCCATCCTTTGCAACCTGCTGGCTTTCGAACGTGATGGTATAAGGTCCCAGTAAGAGCGAGACTCGAACTTGGGAGGGTCCTCCAATTAGCGCACTTGATGAACTTCTAGGTAGATCGACGCCACAGTACAACGCTCCTCGAAGCATATACTTGACTGTCTTGGGCGTACTCCGATCCAACCGCTCACGCTCTTCTGCGGACATTGGTTTAGCGTGCATTTTCTCACCATCTTCTGGTCTAGGCGACTCAACTCGGACTGTGGAAATTAGAATGCGACCACGATAGGTCGAACCAAGTTCAGGGTGTCGAGATACTAGCTGCTTCCGCTTTGGATTGGTACCCCGTAAGGGAGGACCATAGAGATTGTACCAACGTGGTGCAGTCGCCTGAAGTCTGTGTTGTTCTTCCTCAAACTCCAGCTTCTCTCGCAACGCAGTGTCACTCAGCTCTTCTTCAAAATCTTCATCGTCACTGTCCCCAAGCATAAATCTTGTTTTCTGTGGACTCTCCGGTGACTTTGAATTAGCTGAGTTCTCCACAGTTTCAGCTGGAACTTTTTGGAAATCTTGTGAAGCCACACCGACCAGTTCGTTCGGAGACGTCAGGTCTCGATCCCATATCGAGATGCCGATGTGTCTCGAAAAAGTAGGGATCCGTACAGGCAGCCAGAGCTCTTCATAGAAATCGGGGGTGAGATTCCCACGTCCTTTTACGGTCACAACCGAAGTTTTACACGGTGAGTTAGCCGCAAATACAACTTGTACGAACGCGTCGATGCCAGCTCCGAGCAGCAGTCCTCCCGTGTCCATGGCAGGTAAATGCTCGGCTCGTAGTACTCTTACTACCAGAAACTGTAGCTTAAGCTCGATAGCGGGAGGAATCAGAACAAGTGGAGAGATAGTCGCTTGGTCACTATCGTCCGGTAGGTTTTCGCCTGCAGCCTCGGCAAGTTCTTGTTCGACTTCAGCCTCACGGTCATGCACTCGCAATGCATCACCAGGCCCCAGTAGCACCACACTAATCAAGAGAAATCCCTGGATTCCTCGATCTTTCGCGCTCAAATTGTCATGAACAGCGATCCATTGGCGGTACAACTCGTGGTGAGGCTAGATGAAAGATTGGTCTACGTCAGTTTATTGTAGAGGATACTGGAAAAATAAGCAAGTGTCGACGTACTTGAGCGTATACAGAGAGACAGTCGAGCTGGTAGATGCCGATCAAGTTGTCTTTAAGCACTTTTTCCTTGTCGTAGACGGTGATCTGATCAATCAAGAAGCAATAAAATTAGACTACAACGAAATTTTCAGGCTTCTCGGACTCAGTTTTACCTTTATCGATGCCTCTTGCAGCTCATGACGACCAATATTCGGGAAATTGAAGAACAGGATTTCATCAAAGACGCAGCCCAGTGTGTCGTATTTTGTCGATGTCTTCTTTGATACACCCATGATGTCCACTTGGCAGTACGGATCCGACGTGCCGCTCAGCTAGATCAAACAACATGAAGTCTCAACAATTACCGCGAGAGATTCAAGACAGCATGTAAAACTTACATTTTCTCCCTTGAGATCCCTTGCTTCGATGATATGCACTTGCACCTGGTAATCTCCTGGTTTCAGCGACGCAACGGCAGCTAGAGCCTCCCGTTCTTGTTCTTCCCGTCGGAGAAGAGCCTTCGCCCGAGCATCCACTTCTTCTTCAGTCTCGTCCTCCTGTCCTACCAGTAAATCCGCAAGCCCCGCACCTACAGCCCCGTGCTCCAGCTCCGCAGCAGCTGATCCAGATTGGAATAGCTCTTGGTCATTAGCTTTCGTGTACACCAAGGCCACCTTGAGCTCCAGTTCTGCTCCAGTTAATTGCCCTGCTACGCCCTTATCTCGCAGTGGGAACCAGCGCTGCGTGGTCATCCCCGGCAGACCAGCAATTTCGGCCGAAGAGATCACGACCTGACCAATGAAGTGCATCTTGATTGGCAGCCGGTCTCGCACAGACACGGTCACTCCTGTGGTCCAGTCTACAGCTCGGAAAGCGAAGACTTCGTGCCATCGAGGTTCTCGAGTCTTGGTCATGACGCTGGTCTTGTACTCGACCCCCAGCGATGACAGTTTGACGTAGCAACTAAGAGTATCTCGAAATGTAGAAGGCTGAAGGTGACGGGCTTGCAACACGGTGATCACCAACGTATTGGGCAGCGTATCGTCTAAAAAAAACGTTAAATGAAAAAGGATAAGCAGTTGTATGCAAGAAAGATATGAATATACAGAGAAATTACCAGCATCTTCAGCGAGTCGGACTTCCTTGGGCAGAATTTCCACCGGTGCGTCTTCAAACTCCTCGACATCGTCGCCCTTGCTCATAGATGCAGTGGAACGCGGCATGGCGGATGGTGCTCAAATAGCGTATCTTCGAGGATATCTGAAAATTATGACCTTTCAAAACGTGCGGTCGTCGCCACTTCAACATGAAAGCCCAATCAAAAACGTGCCGCTATGCAACTTCATCGTCATTCATACTTCATATAGCATTTTGCTATGAAGTGTGAATTACCTACTATTATAAAGACGTCGAAAAAAGTAAAGTGAACGAGAGAGTACGAAATGAAAACATATCTAGTGTCTTAGCCTAAGCACGCGACAATCACTCTTAACCAACCAGTTTCTAGGCGCGCTGAGGTCACGTATGTAAACTAAGAACAGCCCATTGCTTCTCCTTCCTTGGTCCTCTGTCTTCACCTTCGACAGTCACTTAATACTGGTAACCACTGTTGCCGTACGGGTTGCTGCCCATGCTGCTCTGGCTGCTAGCGTACGGGTTCTGCTGCATACCTCCCATGCCCATGTTGGGCTGCATACCCATTCCCATGTTCATGCCGGGAGCCATGCCCATGCCGTACTGTGCCGACGGGTCGTTGTAGGCCGTAGGGGCGATGGCAAGCATCGGCTGCATGCCTCCCATACCGTACGCCGGGTCGAGCGTCTGCGCGTCCGTCTCGGGTTCCTGCTGCGTCTGCGTACGCTCGTCCAGCACCTTCACTTTGTCGTTCAAGTTCTTGACGAACTGGATCATGTAAGGCATGACGAAGTCGACGTAGCCGTGACGCCAAGCAAGCTCCAGAGCAACATCCGGCTTGATCAGCTTGTAGCACGTGAACAACGTTGCGCAGAAGCACTCCTTGTCGTGCACAGACACGAAGAAACGCAGGATATCTTCGGCAAGCTCCGGGTCCTCCGAGTCACTGGCACAGTCGATGCAATCCTTGTACATCTTGTCGGCCTTCGACAGCTTCACAGACTGCGGGTAACGCTTGTTCTTACGGTACAAGTAGGCGGCAATACGACGGAATTCCAGAAGCTCGTGCTTCTCTAGCTTCTGGGCCAACGAGATCTGGTCGAAGTTCTCGTACGCGTCCACAGAGTCGCGGAGTGCCTGGTAGTCCTCGTCGTCCACCAGAATCTCGTTCAGAGCCTCGTTCACAGCTGACAGGTTCTCCTTCTGCACGTCCTTCAGGTACTCGGCCACGAGCGGCAGGTTCTTCGACTTGCGTAGCTGGTGGACGACACGAGCGTGGTCCAGGTTGGGGGTCAGCACTTGCAGGAGGCGCACAAGTTCAAGCGGGTGCTGCTCCAGGTAAAAGTTGATCGCCTTGTAGTGGATCTCCTGGTTGCGGACCTTCTGGATGCAGTCTAGGAACAGATCGTGCGAGAACGCCACGGGGTGGTCAACCATCGTACGGACAGCATTGTCGAACTGGCCGTCTTCCTTGTACAGGTACACGGCGTGGTCCCAGTGCAGACCCTTCTCACAGGCACGCAGAATCTTCGACACGTTCATACGCGAGTGGAAGATCTTGATGTGCTCCATCAGCTTGGACGGCAAGTACTTGGAGTACAGAATAGCCAGCTCCGTGAAAATGCCAGCGTGAGCGCCTTCCAGACCAAGGCCCTGCTCCATCAGCTTGAGCAGTTCAGTCGAGTGGCCACGCTTCTCGTAGTGCAAGATCAGCTCCTCAAGGTGGTCAGGGTGCACGATAATGTGCAGACCACACAGACCAGCGAGACGGAACTCGTTCACATCCACACAGGCGTAGTTGACCTCCTTCCACGTGCCCACAGAGTTGGCCTTCGTAGCAGCGTCCACAGCCTCACGGAACTTGCCCAGACGCACGTAACAAATGGCGAGCTTGGCGTTGTTGTTAATGTTCTGGAACAACAGCTTGGCCGCATTGTACATGCCTTCATTGTAGCAACGCTCACCGATGTTCTGGATCTGCGCCACGTTGGGGGACGAGATGAACTCCTCAAGATCGCCGTACTTCTCTGTCTTAGCGTAAGCGTAAATCAGCGAAGTGTCGAGGTACTGCTCCTTCACGGTGTTGCGCGCCATCTTCAGGTACGGGATCAACTCGTTGTAGTTCTCGATGCGCTCAGCCGCAGCAATCACGTCCACGTACGAGCTAGCGTCGTTAGCCTTAATGAACGCCGACAATGAGTCGTGCACCTTGCCCTGGTCCAGCTGAGCCTTGGCAAGGCGAGACCACACTTCGGGCTCGTTGCAGCGGTCAGCAAACTCGTAGGCACGTTCGTTATCCTTAATGTAGTCCAACAACACGCCAATAGCATCCACGTTGTGGTTCGTCTTCTTGTAGATGACAAAACCTTCCTCATACAGCTGGTACTGCTCGCCCACAGCAATGCGAGCGATCTCCGGACCGTCGAAGTTGTCCAGACGGTTCACGTAGTCCATGACCTTCTCCTTGCCAGCCTTGATAGCCGTCAGAATCAACAAGTTCTGCAGGTTCTTGTTGGTCGAGAAGTCCGTGCCCTGCAGCACGATGCGCTCCAGCAGCTCAATGAGCTCGTTCGGCAGCTCAGCGTTCATGAACGCACGCACAGTGGTCGACACTTCGTCGGGGTTGGTGGTCTCAGGAAGAGCAGTCTGCACGACCTGGTCAATCAGAGCACGACGACTGGGAGATTCCGTCTCGCCTTCCTCCTGCTTCACAAGCACTTTACCCCACAGGTCCAGGTCCTGACGCTCCACCAGGTAGCGAGCCAGATCCTTGAACAGACCGTTCTCCGTGGTCACACGGATAAGGTCGTCGTCGCAGGCGCCACCAGCACGACGGTAGGCCAGGTAAGCGAGCGCCGGGTCCAACTTCTCGCAGAACTTACCGACAATCTCCGAGTCGTAGAACTGGTTGTTGATCAGGAACTGCTGCGGGTCCTTGTTCAGCGTGATGTAAATCTTACCGATAGCGTTATGCGTCGCAGTCTCCGTGTTGCCCTGAGCCACACGAGTCTCGAGCCACGGCTGCAGCAGACGCAGACGGTTGCGCTTCTCAACCTGTTCGCACAGATCGTCCACGGGACACTGTGCAATCTGGTTCAGCAAGTTCTTGATGTAGTCCTCGTTGCAGTCCAGGTCCAGCAGCTTACCAATGACAACAGGGGCCTTCTGCGGGCTCACCTTCGTCACGTACACGTCGATATACTTCATCAGGTTGTTCGAGTACAGGTACTGCGTCAGCTCTTCCACGAAGTCGTAGCGGTCGCACACGTGGATAAGCGGGCGCGGGTCCTGCAGCTTCGACTCCTTCAAGAATTCCTTCACCTTGACAGGGTCGTACACAGAAGAGTCACGGCAAACACGCTCCACCTCCTTGAACTGGCCCATCTTCGTAGCCGCCTCGATGTACTTGAAGTGAAGGTCCGGGTCCTGCGAGAAGTTGACGATCGAGCCCAGGAAGAAGTACAGACCGTCGAACGACTTGAACTTCTCGAACACCTCGACCAGTTCCTTGCCGCCCAGCTGCTCAGCGTACTTGGTGGCGACCTGCACCACAATCTGCAGGTTCTGGCGCATGTTGTGAGCCATCAAAGCGTTGATCAGCTCCATCGAGACCTCGCTGGTCAGGGTGCCAAAGAACGTCACAATAAACTCATGGTTGATCGCTTGGGTGTTCACAATGACGCGCTTCAAGTCCGCCAGCTCCGTGTAGTGCTCCAGAGCACGCTGGAACAGACCAGCCTTCTCGCAAAGAGCAGCAATGCGCGGTCTGTCGTAGTGCGTGAACATGTTGTTCGACAGAATAGCGTCAGCCACCTGAGGCGAGCCACCCAACAGGTTAATCTCCAGCAGACGCGTCTGCAGGTATCCCTCCTCAGGTCGGTTGTTCTTCAGAGCCTCCAGAAGGAAAGCAGTGGTCTCCTGGATGCGGTTCACCTGCATGAAAATGTCCACAACTGCGTTGACGTCCACCAGAGGGCCGTTCTCGGCGACCGCCAGCTTCTGGGCGAAGTCCAGAGCACCCTGAGGGTTAGCGCGCACCAAGTTCTGCAGCATGAACGTGTAGTCGCAACGGTAGTTGGTCTGGACAGCGTACGCCACGATCTTATCGAACTCTCCGCGCTGCACGAAGCAGTTGATCACCTTCTCCGGTACCTCAGCACGCAGATACACCGACAGAGCCATCGTGGTGTCGGACTGGGCAACCAGGTCACCCAGTTCCTCCGAGCACTCCAGCTTGTCCTCCGACAGCCACTTCTGGAGCAGCTGACCACGACCCTGCATCAACACGGGGCGAGCCAGCTCAATAGACTCCATCTTGTTCAACGTGCCCTTCTCAAGCAGAACGCTGAAGTACTGCAGGATAGGCTGGGGCTGACCAGGCTGCGCAGGCATGTTCTGGAACCTCTGGATAGTCTGCGGCGTACGGAGCGCGCCCTGCGGAGAAGCAGCAGCCAGACGAGCTGCTCCTTGGATATCATTGACGCTAACGAGACGGTTGAACTCCGTGAAGTAAAGTTCTTCAGCACCTGGCAGGTCCAGACGTGTAGCCAAAGCCAACGCCAGTTGCGAGTCACGCAGCGTGTTCACCACGTACGGCACGAGCTTGGTCTTGTTAATGGCAAAGTGCAGAAGCTGACCGCGACGCGTAATACCCAGCATACCCTTGGACTTGGACTCTAGACACGTGACGAACGTCGTGTCCTGGGATACACGAGCACGGTACACAGGCTTGCCCGTGTGCGCGTCGAACAGGAAGAGGTATCCCATCTTGGTGATCATGTACACGACATCGTCGCCAGGACTCACCAGCATTGACACAGGGAAATCAGCCTGTGCATCAGCAGCGAACGGGATCGGGGCAGGCGGGAGACGGAAGACGCCACCGGGGGCATCACGGTCACGTCCGACCTCCATGATAAAGAGCTGCATGGGCTCTCCACTGCCCTTCGTACCGGCGAACACGAGCACCTGAGCGTCATCTGTTCTTCCAGGAGGCTTCATCTGGGCGAAGGCACCGGCGTGGCCCTGCAGCACCTGGCTCACCTTCTTTTCCATCGAGTAGAGCTGCATGTTGCCAGCGATACGGCCACCTTCTCCCTGCGAGATACCGACCAGAAGCATCCACTGGTTGTCGCCAGAGGCCTCGTAGCTAATAATTTGAGTGCCAGCGCCCAAGTTCGCGTGGCGGTCGAAGATCTTGGCTGGGGGCGAGTCGCCCTCAATACTCCAGTGATACACGGCTGAAGCAGTGACCAGAGCGATAGTGTTGACGGAGATCCAGCGCCAGAAGACCACGGCCTCGTTCATGAGGTGGCTCTTCATCTTGGCGCGCAGCTCCATGTTGAAGATCTGCAGCTGGTTCTCTGCGCGCAGAGCGATCACCTTGCTTACGGGGTTCATGATGGCCGCCTCAGCGTTAATGGGGCGACGTTGCACCGTATTACCTGCCGCCATATCCACGATCACCACGCTGGCCTGGCCGTTCACTTGCTCGCACACGCACACGAACTTGTCCGACTCCATCGTCGTCGTGCCAAACTTGACATAGTCTAGGTTCACACCCAGGGTGCTCAACTGCAGGCAGACGCATACAACACAGAGATATTAGTTACCTGCTTACTGTGATGCTTTCCCCCTCTATCTTGAAGTTGTATCTAAAATTAGAGGGAAATGAATTCTGCATTGGCGACTTACGTTGAGCACTTCCCCGAAGGTAATGGGGAGATCTTGCGCCATGTTGCCTCGGGTCTGTTGCTACCGCTTACGCCCTCTGTAATTCGTGTCTGTAGGGTGTCTTGTCGGACTGGCGGAGGGGGGGGAGGCCGCTCGTTGCGCGCTCTTCGGATCCTTTCGCTTCTTCCTCCGTTTCACGACTGTGGCCGGCCGCACGGCTCCCTGAGGGGGCGAAAAATATCTTAGCCCAAATCTAAGTGTTTTGAGAGGTTTACATTGTCAAGCGCGCTTAAGGACTCATTTCTTCTTTTTATGGGTACGAAAGTGTTCAAGTCAAGTTGCTGAAACGATGATACCCATTCTGTCCGATGGCTGGCCCAAAACGCGAACTCACGCCAAAGCGACGCTAAAACGGCGCAACAGTGCAAGGTGAGTCGTGTATGTGTTAGTGTTTGCAATAGCGTAAATATAGCTCTTGGGAAGCGGGTGACAACCGAACCTCGTCGTGGCAGTGTGGTAAGAATAACGGTCGTTGAAGCAGTTTAAGCGCGCTTATATGCTCTTTTAGAGCGGATTTGAGAGGGGTAGCTATCTGGGATGGGATCCTTTTGCCACGTATGTCGGAGGTTGCCGGCTGAAACGGACGTGCCATGCAGATAAGCAAATTTTACTTTGAAGCAAATGAGCATTTGTTGATGGATACTATGCTTGCCATAAGTCGAAATGAACGACACTAGATACACAAGGGTCCGCTGCAACGCGTTCAAGGCAATTTACTATCTTTGAGCCGACAGCTAGCAACTCGGCACCTACGCCGTGAACTTGTCGGAGGTGGTGAGTGTAAGACCCTTAGCAGCCATGTCGCGCAAAAACTCCTGCATCACAGCGGGAAAAACATAACAGAGAGTGGCAGAAGTCAGTTCCGGCAACAGCAAGAGGCAAGAAATGGTGGTAATTGTTACCTCGCCAGCCTCTTCAAAGCCCGGCACGGGAGACGCGCAGTCAGTCAGGATCACCAAGTCGTGGATCCGCTCCGCGGGCCACGCATCCGCCAAGTCGCGCACCGTGTAGTTCACGCAGTGTGAGATGGCTTCGCCGCACACGACCACCTTGTCGGCGAGCTTGAGAGTGTCTACCAGCGCCTGGTTCAAGCTGGAAAAACAACAACAGCAACATGTAAGCACCGTACACTGCTACGCGTAAATTCTGAAGTGCAACGTACCTTGTTGTGGGATCGTAAGACAGCTCGAACTCGGCCTTGAGCGCCGAGTAGTGCTCCGTGAACGAGTTGCTTCCCTTCATGATGTATTGAACAGGCTTGAGCGACGCCTTCGTCCACTCCATCGCCGCAGCAAGCACGTTCGGCACAATGTTATGTCCAGGCGAGCCGATGAGACAGTGTTCAGGCCAGATGCACAACGTGAACTTGCCGCTAGCCTCAAGTGCCGTCGTGTAGGCCAGCACATACTCCTTCAAACTGGGATCGCGAGGTCTCCACACGCCCGCAGCGACGTCTTCAGCCGTGATGAGCGTGAATGGATCAGGCGACTTGCCCTCTTCATTCTCCCAGAAGATCCCATGCGCAATGTGGTAGCGCTGATGCGAGTCTAGTGTTAGCACGAGCTGCTTGAGCTTGTCCGAATGCTGGCGAATGAACGCCGCGATACGCGCCGCATCCTCATTCGCTGTGGGAATCGCGAGTGATCCACCCGGGTGGAAATCAACCTGCTGGTCGATCACCAGCAGGCATAACCCACCCGAGGGGATTGCGCCGGCTACCTGCGCTGCTTGACTCAACTCCACGGTCATGGTCGATTTGTTGTAATGTTCAGCTCACATGACGTGAAGTCAATTTTTCTAGCGATATTTTCGCCAAAACTAGGGATAATCGGATCTATTATCGACATTTTTTGGGTAAATCTATAGTCTAGCAGTGCCGAAAGCGGGGGACGACTGCAAGTGCAGCATGACGTGGTGCGCCACGTACCGCAACATAAGCACTTCAACGGCGCGCAACAGTACTCGCTTTACAGTGAGTCCACGTCGAAGCATCAGGAGGAACACGATCACGTAACCTAGCACTTGAATCTTGCGCTTTACGGGCCACGACGTTGGGGGAATGCTGGCAGCGAACTCGTGCACTGTGGGGAAGATCTCGGGTGCTAGCAGAGGCCATTTCAACGTCCCAGCCTGCATGCTTTGTGCGAACCGAACCACCTCTGGAACGTATGCCCGCCATGACCGTTTGCGTGGCGCGAGAGTGTAGTTAACAACAGGCAATGGTACACGCGAAATAATGCTCGGCTCGATGCGCCGAATCCGTTCAAAGTCAGTCATGGACGCACTGCCAAGCGTGAAGATGTCTATAGCAAGATATCGGAGCAAGGCGAATTAGCAAGGAAGCGATTACGAGCAGCGCTTAATACAAACGAACCTAGATCAGTCTCTTGCCTCGCCTTCACCAAAGCTTCTCGAAATCCCTTGCAGCAGCCTGCCAACAATACACTATCCATTCCATGTGTACATGACATTCGTTCAGTCCATATTTGAAGCAATTGCATCATTGTCGTAGGATATACAGCAGATACGTACATGATAGAATCGCTGCAGATCCAGGCGTTGCTTTTGACGTCAAGGGGCAATCGCGGGAGCGGTGTAGATCCAGTCACGCGCTTCAGAGCTAGTCGCAACATTAATTGGTACGCCCTGGATGAACATGCCACCTCAGGTTAAATATTTCTAATACGAAAGTAGTTTTTTTAAGCTTGGAAACTTCCGCACATACCTCGCAACATCATACTTGCAACCGATCAACTGCTTAGCACAGCGAAGAAATAGTTGTAACTCCCCTTCCGACATTGGGACGCGCAGCACCTATCCAAAAACCACCCAGAGGGTGAACCACTTAAGAGATCAATTATCCGGATAATAGATCATTTCTTAAAACGCACCACAGGTTGTCGTTGAGGCAGAAGCAGCCGCTCCAACGGCATCAACTTGACAGATGGCATCCCCACATGAAGCACAGTGTTTTGATCCAGCACAATCACCTGCCGCCCACCTCACGCATTAAAACTCGCTCACCAAACACGAGGAACATCACTCTTAGCTCACCACATGATCGTACGCGTTCTCGGTTAAATATCTCCCAACCGAGTAGACCAGGCCGCTCGTGGTGATGAAGATCAAGTCGCCTGCGTCAATCAATCTCAGTACCCACCTAGCAGTCACTATTCCGCATCTACCGCAGCTGCAGGTACCTGGCTTCACTAGCTTGGCTGCCTCTCGCGCCGCGTCCTGCGCCTCCTTGGGCGATCTGCCAGCGTCAGCTCGATCGTCAACCTCTCTTGCACCTTCAAACCTCTGCCAGAAAATTTACCGTTGGAACTCGTGCTCATTGAACTGCAAGCTGTTGGGCGCCAGCACTTGAGCTGCCGATGTGGCTAGCGCGCCCAGCGAAAAGCTCGTCGTCGGTCTCCGCTTCCCCTTCATGATCCGGAGCGCAATTGTGTCGTGTGTTGGTAACGGCTAAAAATGACATAGATTGTGAATAAAACTGTCATTTTTGCCAGAAATGGGTAGAGTACAGCTGCATTATACACACCTTTTGTCACTTTACTGATTTCAGCAACGCTTTCTCTTCGAACAACATTCCGGTATTTACAAGAGACCACTGCGCAGGTCGGAAACCGGCTCCCCAACCCGCAGTGCCGGGAAAGCCTCGACCAGGCAGGACAGTGTCAGCAATCGACGTCGGCCTCTGCGTGAAATACCAGGCCAGAGTTCGTGTCGCGTGTTTGGCGTAGTGTGGCGAGTCGAGAGCCTCGATTCCCCCGCTTGGACCAAATATGCGCGCGTTCTGGAGAGATGGGTCTGCATTCAATACAGGGACAATAACGATGCTGCTGTGCATTACAGAGAGCGCGGCGCAGCGACTCGTGGGGCATGAGAGTCGACGCCTAGCAGAATCCTCAGACAGCTACAACTTCATGTTCTACTTCGTGATCGGCGCCATGATGCTCACATGCCTCATTTACAACATTTTCTTTAAGCACAAGATGGAAGCCAATTTCCTGCGCCAACAGGCACTGCCGGAGACTATGCTACGACAGGATGTGATCGCTAGCGACCAGGACATGAACAATCTGTGGGAGTGCGAAGTCTGCTCCTTCAAGAGCTACGACGCTCACACCACCTGCATGCTTTGCGGTACAGACCGCTCCTTTAAGATGATCGAGAAGACAGCCAGGGCGGTCGACGAGTCAACCAGCGAGCACAGCAACGCCCCGTCGTCGGCCTCGTCCAGTACCAAATACGTTCTCTACATGGATGAGAAGGAGAACCCGCTCACTCGCAGTGCAGTCAACAGGGCGACCCCGTCGCGGTCCATTAGGTCCAAATCGACGGCCAAAATTAACAGGGAATTCTTCAAACGGAAGCTCAGTGTGCTCAATCTACGACAACAATCAGCACGACGTCGACACGAGTGGTCTCGTCAACGCAACGACGATGGAGAGCTGATCTGGGTCAGGAAGAAGCACTATATGGACCGTAAGGCGCTTAAAAGTCTGCGCAATCTCGACAGTCTACGCAGCCAGTCGTCAGCGTCATTGCGTGACTCCATTCTGTCGAATGGAAGTGTCAACTCGGTCGGAATTGTGTCTAGGATTGTCGTGTCGCCCAAGAATCCAACGGGGAGATTGTCTCTTGAGGCAGCAGAAGGAGCTTTGGCGACGCGCGGCTCGGACAGCTCGGAGTTTTCACAGGATGAGCTGGAACAAGTCGGATCGCTGCCTTTTCAGCAGAAGCACGCGTGGTTTGTACAACATACAGCAGCTATGGAGGTGCCATGGGAATACGGACACTTGCTGTTGGAAATTGAACGGGATAATTTGCTTCATAACTCGTGCGAACAATTACTGTGGGCGACGCCGGATCAACTGCATCAATCGCTTCGAATCAAGTTTGCGAACGAGCCAGGTGTTGACGCTGGTGGACTGGTGCGGGAGTGGTTTACGCTTATGACGAAGGAGGTATTCGACGATACGACGGGTCTATTTTACAGATGCGGAAACGGGGATGGCCTCATGATCAACTCTGCATCCGCTGAAGCCAGTGTCGACCACCTGATGGTACGCTTTACGCTCGTGAAATTTTGTGCAAGAAGCGTATACTCACTTTGTTTTTTTTTCTGTTGTGCAGTACTACCAAGCTATCGGCCGCTTCATCGGAAGAGCACTTTTCGAAGGGATTCTCATCGACGCACACCTAGCACTTCCGGTGTGTAAACACATTCTCGGGATTCCTATTACTTTTTCGGACCTTGAATTCGTGGACAACGACTTGTACAAGAATTTGAAGTGGTTGCGAGACAACACAGGCGTTGAATCGTTGGCTTTGGACTTCACGTACGTAGACTTCATCTCTCCTTAATTTTTTTTCGTGGAATTCTAACCGAAATTTAATTTTCTGCAGGGTTAATGTTGACCAAATGTCCGACAAGACGAAGGTGGTGGACTTGGTGCCGAATGGCTCGAATATTCCCGTCACTGACGAGAACAAGATGGAGTACATTACTCTGCGCTTCAAGTGGATCGTCGCAACCAGCATCTCTCAGCAACTTGGCTCATTGATGCAAGGTCTATTCTCGATTATTCCCAAGGAGCTACTCTCGGTTTTTGATCACCAGGAGTTGGAGCTCTTGATTTGTGGAATCCCCGACATCGACGTGATGGACTGGAAAACTCACACTATTTATGTGGGGGAGCGCGACGAGCGAGCGATCGCCTGGTTCTGGAATATCGTGCATGAATTCTCGAACGAGCAGAAGGCGCGTTTGCTGCAGTTCACGACCGGTTCGGCTCGGGTGCCAGTGCAAGGCTTCAAGGCGCTGACCATGAATGATGGACGTATCTGTCCGTTCGCGATCCAGTGCGTCAGTGCTGACGAGTGTCTGTATCCGCGAGCGCACACGTGCTTCAACCGGTACGTCTGCTTTAAATCTGGTTTTTGTAATGACTTGGTTGGGTTATCTAACGTGAGTTTTTGTCCACCCCAGCATCGACTTGCCCCGGTACGACACCGAAAAGGACTTGCGAATCGCGTTATCCCTCGTGATCCAAATGGAAGTAACCGGTTTCACTATCGAGTAAAGCTGGTAGAAGTTGTGTATTTACTGAAGCAGAGCGCATCGTCAAGAAAGTAATCGAACCATAGCAACGGAGTAGCTTAGCTTCGTATTCTCTCATTTACGAGCCATTCTCTATGTTTGATTTTTTCTCGAGGGATACTCATCATTCCCACAAGTTCAAGAGACCGACCAGACCGAAGAATCGCCTTCATTCTCGGCAATGGCGCATCGTGCGGCTCAAACGTGGCAACCGCAGAAGTATCTCAAGTTCGAGCGAGTCCGACTGCGCCCCGCGCTCGAGCTACTGGAGCGCGTCCGAGAGCTGCCATCGACCGCGTCGAGTGGAGACGATGACGTAGTGGAGATCATAGATTTGGGTGCTGGCACGGGGAATATGGCCCCCTCCTTCTTGTAAGTATTTAAACACAAATATCCCCTTGTTCCGTTGCATAATTAACGCGAATGCTGCAGTAAACGGTGGCCAAGGGCACGTGTGACGTTCGTAGACTCGTCGGCTTCAATGCTGGAGCGTGCGAAGCAGGAGCATAGTGTCGATGATAATGTCAAAACCGAGCAATGCGCGTACCTGGAAGCTGATTTCGAGAGCTTCCAGCCGGACAAGCCAGTGGATCTCATCTTCTCCAATGCTGCACTCCACTGGGTGAGTTCCGAGCGCCACAAGCAGCTCCTACCGCGGTTGTTCTCCTTCCTGAAGCCTGGAGGAACCCTCGCCTTTCAGATTCCAGATACACGCCTGCAACCGAGTCACCAGTTGATCGCTGAAGCTGCGAAGCAAGTGGGTCATTGGGATCGTGTTGCTGATGTGCGTTGGGTCACTTGCGAGCGTGATCCTGGCTTCTACTATGAGCTTTTCAAAAGTATCGACAAGGATATGGAGCTAGACATGTGGGCAACGATGTATGCGCAAGTGCTAGAGGGGGACAACCCCGTCGCGGACTTCGTGGGCTCTACTGGACTTCGTCCGTTCATGGAGGCTCTGGCTGATCCGTCCACGGCAGCCTCGGAGTTCGAGCACAAGTACCGCGAGCTGATCGTTGCAGCATACCCGAAGCAATGCGATGGACGCATGATCTTCAATTTCAAGCGCTTCTTCGCTGTCGCTACGAAGCCACTGGAGGCATGAGAACAAAATTATAGCAACCACGACTGCTAACAAGTTGAAGTTATGTCCTCCGACGTCCATCTTCTCTAATAAAATGTCCACTTTAACTTTTTACTAGCGTAAAAAGTCGGATCGCATTTTTACGAAAGGACACGGCACTTGAGGAGCTACGCAAAAGCACCAAAGGCTTGAAGTGACCAACAGTAGCGCGTATGGGGCCGAAGAAGGGTAAAGGCAAGAAGGAGAAGAAGGAGAAGAAGGGAAAAGGTGGCGCCAGTAAGAAAGGAGCGGCTGAAGTAAACGACGCCGAGCGAGAGAATGAGGCTGAGCGGCTGGAGTTGATAAAGCAGGCGAAGGCTCTGCTGGAGCTCACTCGAAAGGAGGAGCAGGCATTCAACGAGTTCCAACAGCAGCGAGAGAAGATCAACTACTTTTGGATCGTGGAGAAGAAGAACTTTGAGGATCGAAAGGCCGAACTGCGTAACAAAGAGCGAGAAAGACAGGATCTGGAGGAGAAGCACCAGGTCGAGATCAAGGTACGCAACTACAAAGTGCAGTGTTGAACCAACCAGCTGAGCGTCGATTGTTTTGCTAGGTCTACAAGCAGCGTGTGAAGCATTTGCTGTACGAACATCAGAATGAAATCACGAAGCTCAAGAAAGGTGAATCTATCGCCGTACCTTTCTACCAACTCCAGCTAACAGTTCTTCTGTCCGTAGAAATGGAGCAATCGTTGAAGCTGTCCCAAGACGATTATCGCGGTAACGAGCGTGAGTTGAAGACGGATAAACGTCGGCTGAAGTTCGACTTGAAAGAGATCGAGCTGTCACATCAGGACTATCTCAAGTCACTCAAACAGGAGCAAGATCGACGTATCACGATATTACGTCAAGAGTTCGAGCGACATGCTAAGGAGCTTCAGCAGAAGTATGAACGTAAACGCAAGGCCTTCCGCGACGACCTGGAAGCTCGTCGTAAGCAAGACACACAGAAGATCGAAGAGCGGAAAAATCTGCATATCGCGCAGCTCATGACAGCTCACGAGAAAGCCTTTGGAGAGATCAAGAACTATTACAACGATATCACTCACAACAATCTCGATTTGATAAAGTCACTTAAAGAAGAGGTGAGCGAGATGAAGAAGAAAGAAGCACAAGACGAAAAGCTTATGTTCGAGATCTCCCAGGAGAACAAGCGCATGTCGGAGCCTTTGAAGCGAGCTCTGCTGGACGTGGAGAAGCTTAGGAAGAATATCTGCGTGTACCAGGAAGAGAAGGTGGAGCTGCGTACCGCGAAGGCCCAGTTGTTGGTGCTTGAACAGGAATACGCCACACTTTCGTGGGAGTTCGAAGTGCTGCAGCAGCGCGCAGCACAAGTATCTCGAGAACTGGAGGAGCTCACGACCCAGTTCCACAGCAGCATCTACGATGTACAACAGAAGGCTGGTCTCAAGAACTTGCTACTCGAGAAAAAGATGGGTGCGCTGACGCTTCAACTCGAACAAAAGGATGCCGAGCTCAACGAGGTTCTGCTTCATGCCAAGCTGGACCCAGCTATAGTAGATCGCGTTAAAGGCCGACTTGAGGACATCATGGCCAATAAGGCTGAAGATCTGCGTGAACTGGAAACGGAAATGGCCCAAGTCACGAAGTTACAGCAGGAACTTGCCATAGCCATGCAGCTCAAGATGAGCGAGTACGGCCTTCCGATGGATGAGCTGGGCTTCATTCCCCAGACTCGATCCACTGTCGGGTCCTCGAAGAACAGCAGCAATAACCAGAGTTATAGTGACGAGGTGGTTCCATCGCCTAGTGCTTCGACCAAGGAGCAGCAGATGGCACAGAAACGAGCGAAAGCTACTATGGCCAAGTCTTTCACCGACCCAGCCAAAGCTCAGTAGATCTCTTCTACCAGGCGAGTTAAACAACACGTACCATACTCTTGATTCAACTTTGAACAGACCTCCTCGGACCACACTGCTGTCATCAAGGGTTAACCCAGTCGCGTAGGGAGTACCAGGTAGCACAGCTTGGCTACGCGTTCATCTAAATAGTCCAATTTGATCGCCATGTCGCGCTCAAACCTCGCGAGTTGGACACTCAGTTGTTGCGCCGTATTCACGGTAGCTTGCAACGAGTCGGCAGGAGCACCCACAGCTTGAGTGTTCATGATGTGCATGTACGCATTCACATCCATCGAAGCAGGTATATGTGCCATCGGAACTGCAGTCGATGGCGCAGGTGGTACTGGCATAGTCGGAGTCGTCCCAGATAGCACGTTAACAGGTTGAGCTACCGTAGTATGTGTCGCTGAAGTAATCGAGGAAAAATAATTCCCCGTTGGTGTCATCGAGCTCGTCGAGATAGTCGCTTCCGTTGCGGAAGCTTGTGAATATGCTGCGGCCACATCTCCGGGTCGTGTCATGTCCATCGCGGGCACAAATTGCTCCGGCAGCTGCTGCAGCTCCTCCTCCGTGAGTGATTTAATACCGTGAGCTTTCTTAAAGTGTCTGAGCCAATTGGTAGTGGCTTTGAGCGACATGTGAGAGTCGTCAGGTGAATACTGCATGAAGAGATCCGTGGTTTTCGTGGCCAGAGACTCTGTTGTGACAGCGCGGCCCAGTTTACGCTGCCGAATTAGCCAGCGATAGAGTTCCTGCTCCACACCCGGATGGTACTCGGACGTGGCTTTGAGTGTCTTGCGCTTGAGTGTCGACATGTGTTTGGCGTCGATGCAGAAGGCCACGATCCGCTCCTTGTTCTTCTTAATGTCCGACACTTGTTGGCGACTGATGCCGAAGGCACGCGCGATTGCAATAGGCTGCTCACCGCTCTCGAGGCGCTGCAGAACCTGCTGCTTGTCGTGGATGGACAGTACCACGCGTTTGCGCTTCGTCCCACTAGGGACATTAGTACGAGGTGGGGGCGGAGGGAGCTCCGTAACGTTTAGCGCTAGTGCGTCGCTGGTGACATCGGACGAGGTGAGGTCCTGAAGAGTATCGACAGAGTCGCTCATATGGCTTCACTTCCACGACGCTATACAGACGGGTTTTTCCGGACTGCTTTCGGATGGAGCCGTTCAAAGTTTGTGTGATGTGGACTACACTTTTAAAACTTACAAATTTTAGGTCGCAATAAAACCGGATATAATCCGGAAGTATACAGACCCCACCTTTTTACAGTACTGGTAGCGGAAGGAAAAGCACAGCCGAACGGCAGCAGTACACAGAATGATACTAAATAATATTTACAGATTTAGCCCTTTCGAATAATGCATACTGACATACATTAATTAATGTTACAGTGCCCGCCAAATCATTAAGACCCCCGATTTGGCCGGACACTTCTGACAATATCTCGGCTTCTAGCCTGAGTTGGGAGCTGCTACTTTGATATGTTTTCTCTATTAGGCTTACAGAGGTGCCACTTGTGTTAACAACTTAGATTTCAATGTATCTGACAGGGCAGGTATACAAATTCAAGGTTTGGGCACCAGCGTCCAATTATTAAGACCACATCCTTTTATGACGAAAATAACACTTTTATGAACAGACCATAAAAACTTCTATATTAAAAGAGTGATGGTCAAAATAAGTAGATGGTTGGCGGAAACGAGCGGGTAGCTAGAGGCTAATGAGGCTGTGAGACTTTCATTTTCAAATGGGCCACGGCAAGGCCCTCTCCGAACAAGAGCACTGGTTTATCGTCGGTCTCCACTGTAGAGGCGTCTCTCTGCACGAGATCGCTAGGAAGACAGGTCGGTCCCGAACGTCCGTCCGGAACGCATTCAAGGCGGAGCGGGGGACCGAAAGAAGACAGCGGTGGAGAGCGAAGGGCTGGGCGGTAACCAACACTGACGGAACGAGAGCTGCGGCAGCTTGTGCGTGCCGCGGCGACAGGCGAGTTCTTCACCGCAGAGCTCAAGACCAAGCTCGGCATCAAGGCGTCCGTGAGGACGATCCAGCGGGTTCTGCAGAGTGTGGACCATCTGGTTTACACCAAGACGGACCGCACGCTCCCCCTCACAGCAGCGCACAAGGTTGCCCGCATACTGAAGCCAGGTAAGCTTGTCATATAAGGTTTTGCTGCTATTTCGTATTCTGACAATATTTGCTTTCTTTAGAAACTTAGATTTATACAATTTTTTCAGATGAAAAGAATTTTAATCTAGATGGTCCTGACTGATTCAAATATTACTGGCGGGGCATGCGCCAGCCAGCACAGTCTTATCTGGGTCGCCAAAATGGCGGAGGGAGCGTCATGGTGTGGGGCGCTTTTAGCGCAGCAGGTAAGAGTGAGCTGGCCATCTTGCGTGGGCGTCAGAATTCAGGTGGCTATATTTACACGTTATCTGAATACCTACTTCCTTTCGCTCACGCTAACTACGGTGTTGACTTCGTATTTCAGCAAGACAATGCTTCAATTCATGCCTCGCATGAAACGAAGCAATTCTTGCAGGAGATGCAACTCAACACCATGGTTTGGCCAGCTCGCTCGCCTGACTGCAACCCCATCGATTATCGTCTGGTCGGCGATGGCGGCCAAGGTGTAGGCACATGGCCTCCAGTATCAAAACGTCGCTGATCTGGAGGCAGCAATCATGGCTGCATGGGACTCCATTCAGCTAGACTACTTGCTGAAGCTGATAGAGTCCATGCCCCGCCGCTGTCTAGCGGTGATTAAGAAGAAAGGTGGACTGACTAAGTACTAACTTTTAATATAGAAGTTTTTATGGTCTGTTCATAAAAGTGCTATTTTCGTCATAAAAGGATGTGGTCTTAATAATTGGACGCTGGTGCCCAAACCTTGAATTTGTATACCTGCCCTGTCAGATACATTGAAATCTAAGTTGTTAACACAAGTGGCACCTCTGTAAGCCTAATAGAGAAAACATATCAAAGTAGCAGCTCCCAACTCAGGCTAGAAGCCGAGATATTGTTAGAAGTGTCCGGCCAAATCGG